GGGCGGGGGGGAAGGCCGTAGGGGGGGGAGGTACGGCAGTGGAGCACAACAGCTGCCTATGCCTCGCACGGTCTGATTTTTTTGAGTTGTGGGTGGTTTTGGAGGATTGGGGGGAAGGATGAGAAACAAGAGGTTGGGAGCGTGGGTTGGGGGAGGGGAGAGATGAGGAGATGGGCTCCGGGGTCCCCCACGCACGGCCACCCCTCCCAGCCACCATCTGGCGCGAGCGGGTTGGCGTGGGGAACCGAGGTGGGGCGGGGGGCCGGCAGATGGGCCCAGGCTGCGCTCCAGAGTTAATGTAGGTTATGGGCAGGCGGAGTCCCCAGGCCCGAGGGAGGGGGAGCCCAGGGCTTGCCTCCCAGCGATCCTGACAAGTGGGTTCCCCACCCTCTCTCCACCCATACTCTATGATCCCTAGACCTGCCTAGGATGCCAAAGAGTGTTCCTCGCTCTCCTCTGAGCTGGCATCCATCCCTGCCTAGTTCTGTCCGCTTCTACCTCCAAATCCTAGCCTAGGAGTTCAGAAGAACTCACTCCTTTTCTGACTCTGGCGCTTGTCTGACCCTCAAGAGACACATCTAGCCCTATGGGATGCATCTTGCTCAATACTGGTAGATCTGGAACACTCTCTACCCCTGTTACACATCCTGACTAATGTGCCCCAAAGCACTTTGCAAATAGTCAAGGACCAAACAGAGGTATTATTATCCTCAGGGATGCAAAATGCAAGAGATCCCAGAGACCTAGAAATCCTCTTTGAGGAGGAAAGGGTTAAATTCTCCTCATCATCAAAAGGCATTTATGAAGCATCTATTTGCCACTTGGGCACTGTCCCAAAAGTTCATTATCCTGCTAAGATGCCACCCTTGGCCCTGAAAAGCCACCAGTGCTCCAGTCTGCTGGAGTCCCTCTTTGCCCACATTTGCTGAGCAAGAAAGGGTCCTGCTGCAGGCCCAGAACTGAAATGCAAATATCCACAGCTGGGACTCCTCTCTTTTTCTCCCACTCCAGACCAGAAGAACCCAGCATGTGTCCTGGGGGCCACCAGGAGCAGGAGGCCGTGAGGCCATCGGAGGCTGCAAATCACATGGAGTTGGACCCACCTGGGTGTCTACTGCCCCTGCCCCTATGCTGATGCTTGGCATGGGTGCAAGCCTCAACTGACGTAGGCTACCCTGGACTGACTGTGGACCTTCTAAAAGTCCACCGGCTGGACTCGCGCTGACAACGTCAGGAGCCGGAGCAGGGTTCAGTCCTGGCATCGTGCAAGGCCCACAGCCTCCCCTGCAGGGCACTTCTGCTTCTGTTACCCTCTCCTTTGGCTGCTGCACACAGCCCCCCAGCAGGCACCACCCGCACCTGGGACTTTGAAGCGCCAAGGTTGCCTTCCAGCCATGCCCCTAAGCTGACCCCGGGTTTTCGGGGTACAACAGGGGCTGTATAGAGCCTCTGGACCCCTCCCCCACTAGGTAGCCTTGCTCGCCCCCCAGCCCCCGAGCCAAGAGCGCAGCTCCGAGGCTTCCAGCGTCTTTTCGCCCTCCCCCTACTCCCGTTCTCCGCCGGGCAAACTGCGCCCAGGTAGGAGCACGGCTGAGGCCTGGCCACAGAGCCCGCTGGGCAGGCCAGGGGCGGGGGAGCAGGCCTGGTTTGGGCGGGGCACTTAAGCCTTGAGGGGCGCCGCTGCGGTCGCAGCAGAGAAGGGGCCACGTGCAGGGAGCCGCGGCCGGGGAGCTGCACAGAAGGCGGGGAGATTTGCAAACTGTTGCTGCCACATGGCTGCTCCTTTCGATCCATTCACATTGAAATGAGGCCGGCGCGTGCCTCATCTGCCGCAGGGCGCTGCCACGCGTCAGCCCGGCCCGCCGCGTGCCAACTGGGGCAGTGGGGCTGGCAGGGCCTGCCAGCCGTGGGGGCACAGCCCGAGCCCTGAGGCCAGGAGGGGGGAGGGGAAGGGAACCGAGTTATCCTAGCCGCTCAGGCGCCGCAGTTTTTCGCGGACCTTGGCCCTGCAATTGGGATCGAGCCGACGAGAAAGGCCCGGGACGGACGGGTTTCGGAGGGGGGCCAGGATCGATGCCGCCGCTCCCCGCAGATGCGCCCCGGCAGCGCTACTCTCCATCTGCCGCTGCTCGCACCTGCCGGTCAATAAATCGATTTTACAATTTAATGCAGCAGCTTCCCGCCCGCCTGGGACAGATGCCGCCGCAGAACCACCTCCGCCCTCACCCCTCCCCTCGAGGGGCGCC